TTTTACAATATGTAATATAAGTCTCTGGTGTCCCCAGAATGTGTCTGTGAAGTTTCAGCTCAAAGTACTCCACAGATCATTTATTATATAATTTGAAAATGCCTATTTTGAGTGGAAGCAGAAACACGCTGTTTTTCGGGCCTGTCTCTTTAAATGCAAATGAGCTGCTGCTCCCCGCCCCCTTTTCCAGAATAGAGCTGCCATTACAGCTCAGACCTGCTAAAAACATGTTTTGGTTCTGATTATCAAGTTTATCACGCTGAAATCATTATACGGTTTAAACCATATGAGTTTAAACTTTCACTCACAAATTTACGTTAAAAACACACGAGTTATTATGTCGGTTATGTCTGTGAAGGTAAACTGCTGGGAAATAAATCGCATGTTTATTTTAGATCTAAACAGTGTTCTGTGCTCGTCTGTGCAGACAAAGACAGAACAGTTAGCATGTTCTGCTCAAACTTTCGCCATGGCATTAGAGCTGGTACACCGTTGTCGCTTGCGAAATCACAATGACAGTGCCATGGGTGGAAATTTACAGATTAAGGGGCCGTAATATTATAATGAGATCCCTTTGCCACGTCACCAAGGGAGTGAAATCAGACGCGCTCGTTTTCTCAGACGCTTTCAGAAAAAGGCTTCCCAAAACAAAGTTACTGGGTTCATCTTTTTCACGTTTCCTTGGTTGGTAGATGCACCGGGGACCTGATTATAGCACTTAAAACCTGGAAAAGTCAGATTTTCATGATATGTCACCTTTAAACTTTTTTGCATCACTCACCAGAAATGTTGTTTTTGAACTGCTGCGATATGTAAAAAAAAAAACAACGTAATAAAACCAGATTCACATTCATCTTTTTTGGATTAAAGCGCCACTCACTGGTCATTTCACATTTGAAAGTGTTGCAAAATGTGCAAGAAGCAACATAATATAATTTTGCAGAAATGACACCACACGCACATTTTTTTCAATGAGCCTGTGTTTGTTAGGATGCTGCCTTATACACAAAATACAAACTACTCTAAACAAATGGATCAGGCCCAGAATATTCAGAGTTTTTTTTCTTTTTCCAGCCTATAGTATCCGGTATCAGGAGTCAGGACTTCCCTTGTTTTAAAAGAGCAGTTAAACTAGCACAGAGAGTATTGACGGCACAGCATGCTTTTGCCCTGATGAGCAATTAAGAAGTAGAGGAATAAAAAATGGAAAATGTATTTAGAAAAAAAGTACTGAGCTGTAGTAATTGTGCTTGTCTCTTCACCATTTGACTCGTGTCGCCAAAAGTGTTTGGTTCAGTGAAAAGTGTGATGTTCTTAAGAGAGAACATCCTTTTTAAATTTTTAATTAAATAAATAAATAAAAAATAAGAGCCTCTTTCTCTGTTCTCTATTTTTTTTTTGTTTTTTTTAAGAGTTTATCTCTCTTTGAAGTCTGCCATCTTGGCTCATAGGCTCTGGATTACAGTTACATATTGATTGATTGATTGAAATTTGTAAATGCCATGTGAATAATTACTATACTTGACAATGGTGATCTGCTGAAGAACGATCAAATTTTTGAAGACCTAATTCAAAAAAAAATTGTTGTGGGTTCCATGTACTATTATTATAATTAATAATTATTATAGTGTTTACTGACATTAACTGGTTTGTATACAATTTACCAAATATCACACTATGAAAAATTGTAAATAGTAACCATTTCCAATACCAAACAGCCAAAAAAAAAAATTACAAAAATGATAACAAAACGATGGCTTTACAAAAACACAAAATAAATATGAGAGCACAATAAAAAAATGTATTTAACAAATATATTTAACATTTTGTATTTAAAAATAATTGTATTTAATATTTTCATTTTGTCAGAATGGCTACTTTTGAGGGGACATCTTTTGTTTGCAGTGGTGTAGTTACAGCACCTACCAGCAGGGGCAAACCATGCTAACCAGTCAAACTGATTGTTTTCATTAGTTGTCTCAGACAGAGAGAGTGAGAGACTGAGACTGTGCTAAAGAGAACAGGAAGAGGCAGTCGCTTAGTTTATATGCTAATGTTCTCTGTCTATATTCACCCACCCAAACAGGAAGCACTCTAGACGTGTCCCTGCTAATGTTATTGGATAATATAAAAGCTCGTCTTTCTCTCTACTGTACTCACAAGCA